TACTGAATAAACACAAATGCGCCTGAGCAAGCGTCTGCAATAGGGACTGGCTAGCCGCCTGAGTAGACGGATATCCTCGAATACGAGCGGCCAGCTATAGACATAACTCTTTAAGATGTTAGGAGTCGATTTTACACTGTATATTATGAACAGGACTCCACTCCCAAAATGATAACTTAATATTTATTATGATAAACAATGTAACTCAACTATATTGCATTACAATAAAGGCCATTAGACCTGATGTTCATTTGTAGGGACCAAATCAAATACAACTCATCTAAAAGAAGGAAATTAATAAAGTCACTGCTTTGCTATTTACAGAACGTGTAGTCTGCAAATGATAAATAATAATATTGTCAAGAATCAATAGAAAAATATTATAACACGAAGACTTTTTCAAAAATTAATTTTCTTAACATTTTCATTATGTTCTGATCCGTTTTTCTCAAAATAGGAAATTGCCATTTTACTGGAAATCAGTATAAAAACGCAAACGTCGTTTTCTGCCATTTTTAGTTTCGATATACTAAGAGAGCTGAACTGCTACGTAATATCAGTTCTCCTCTATGGTAGTAAATGTTGGACAGTATCCTCGCAGATGAAGAGAAGACTTGAGGCAACAGATATGTGGTTCTACTGAAGGATGGTGAGAATACTATGGACGGTGCATATAGGCAGCGAGTAGATTTTAAGGAAAATGGAAACAAAAAGGACAATTATATATGAAATTAGAAAAATCAGTTGAAGTTTCTCGGACTTACAATGAGAAAAGCAGGCGTAGAAAACTTGACACTCACAGAACATATTGACGGCAAGAGGTACAGAGGAAAGCGGCGAGTAACCTACATAACGAACTTGTGTGAATAGTGACGGAACATTGAGTAGGAGGGATAGGGGAAAAGACAAACATTGATAAGAACTACAAAGAATAGAATGTTGTAGAGATCTGTGATCGCCCATGTCCTGAAGGCACACGGCACAATGGAACAAGAAGAATATTTTGTAGTATTGACTACCCTAAACAACACCCCTAATGCGCAATATAAATACGTCACAAAGCGGCAGTGTTCGTTACTATATGTTCACATTAGTTTGGCTCTAAACGCCAGTTAGTTTCTAACAAAAAACACCAGAGACCAACATTTCATGGTATCTTGTAAACGTATATATACGTCGACAGCAGACAATGTGAGTTTCGTAAAGATGTATATGTATGTTTACAGCAGCAGAGTTATTAACGACATTCGTTTTCAAGAGATCATCTCCCCCGACGACACTCAGAAGCCCTAAGTTTAATCGTTTCACACGAAAAAAAAACATTCCCTTATGGTAATCGTAATGGCGAGATCAGCTATTTACATACAGGTAATTTTCGACATTCATCGACAGAACAATTGGCGTTAATGTCGGACAAAATTTATAAGATCTTTCTCTTAAAATAGTTTTTTCAGGAAAATAGGTGTCTCAAATTCGGTAATAGTTATCGCTCTTTCTAGTGTTGATAGGAATTTCCTTTTGAACCTTTTGTTTTTGATATTGTGAAAAGTCAACAACTTGAAGAGATCATTATTTTCTCTTTTCGTTATATGTGTTGTGCTTTTAATTATTGCCTCTGTTGCAAGTTTTCAACTAACGCGGTTACTGCTAATTGGTAAAGCTCTTTGGCATTCAGACACAGAAAGTTCGTTCGCTCGAATCATTCATCTGAGAAAACGGTTATGTATAGCTGTTTGTTTAGATTTTTGTGAACGGTGGTAGATCTTATGCATGGGATCATGAATTTCCTGCAGTGAAATCAGTTCCAGAGTTCAAAATTCAATAACAATGCCATTCTTCAATTCCTGATTTTGATATTCGTCAGTCATCATCTATTGTTTCAATTTTTATTGCTTCTGAAATGTAAATTACAGGATAAAATCAAGAGTAAAGAAATTGTTCATAATTTGCGAAAACTCTCCCTCCAAGACCGACTTTGCATTTCCCAACTCCCATCGATAGTGGAAATAATCGATTTTGTCATGCTTCTACGGCAGTTTTCATGTAGTTTGCGGCCATTTTCTACTGGTCAGAGTGAGAGCCTATAGCTGGCTGCCACGAATAGGCAGGAAGATTCTATTGGTCAGCGTGAGAGCCAACAGATGACTGACACGAATGTTAACTAGCATGCTAGCATGCAAAAACAAAAATCGATAGCTGCATTCGTCACAAGTGGGAAAAATTTAAATCTGCATGGCACTTTACTCCAATTGGCTCATTCGCTTGCTTAAACTCAACGTTGATTCTGATTCCGCAGAATTGGGTTGGATGTGAAAAAATATTTGTTGTTAATATTCTTTTTTCATTCGGTTTTTCCAGTTACGAGTCCTTTTTTAAAGCTGATCGTTTTGTGTTCATTTTGTTTAGTTCTTTTTTCGTAACAGATTTAATGTTTAGTATAGAGCATAGAAAAAATTCGCAGTGTGAGTAGTAAGAAGTAAGGCATGTAGCAACATCAGCATGGCAAAGAGCACTTCTTTAAAGACAAGGAAAGGCAAAAATATTTTAAGTCAAGTGATAGCGATTGCTGTATGAGTCGTACGATTTTTTAATCAAACACGGGCAAGGCCGGGCTATTCTGCTAGTGTAGATATAAAAATATAAAAGTGGACATTGCGGTCAACACCGAGGGACGATATTCTGCTTCATGTTTGAATGTAATGTTCAGGCCATATATATTTTTAAAAAATACCCAATAAAGGTAAAGATGATCTTTAAGGAAACAGAATGTACTCAATGATTCATAGCAGAGTAAATATTCTTTTTATGAATAAGAAAGTTAGGCACCGTCTGTGAGAAAAAGAGCACCATGACGCAGTTTACTCCATCAGAAATTTGGAAACGGCATGCTGTACTCCTTGGAATTCACGCCGGAATCTCAATACGAACATTTCAGAGGTTTGGGGTGTCAATCTGAGGACAGAGCAGAGGATATGGAAAGAGTTGGATGATATATGCAGTCATCATCATGGTGTTTGGAGTGTTCAGTATTGATGGCAACATTATGCTTACATTCATCTTCCCACAGGTCAACATGGGGGCCTACCCCAATTTCCTTGAGGGGGTAGTTCGGCTCTGAGTCAAGAGGGCGATTGCTGGAAGACCCTATGTCTGGTAACAAGAATCTGCACCATACCACACAAACAGGAAAACCCAGCCATGGCGGCCAGACAATTTCTCCGACCACGTTACCCCTTACATCTGGACACCTAACTCTCCAGACTGCAACCCCCTTGATTATTATGTGTGGGACGCAGTTGAGCAAGAGACCAACAAAACTCCTTGTAATATCAAAGATGAACTGAAGTCAAAGATTATGGCAGAGAGGGAAAGAGAGAGCAAGAGAGAAGGGCCTCCTTCATGACTGAATTATTTATTTCCTAACGATATCAAAGGTTGGTTTTAAAGTTCAGATAAAAGTTAGAATTTTGAATACTGATTTTCAAAGATTTCAGGTCCTCTATACAATATTATTGACTACCTGTGGCAACTAACCCTTCACAATCTCCAGCATTCTTTTAATAGATAGATTTTGAATATAGAATCAATACTGCATGGTGATTGTCACCATGAGGTGTTGATTCCTATATCTCAGTAGGTCTGTGTCTGTATGTTATCTCTCTCTCTCTAATATATATATATATATATATATATATATATATATATATATATATATGAAGAAATATAGTTTTAAGGTGTGCTATATTTATGGGATAAAGTGCTCAATATCAGAGATAGAGCATATATAAATATAAAAGTGAACATTGAAGTCAACACTCAGATGCTAACGGCTGTTACATGCTAGACGCAATCGTCAGGCCGCCGATTGCGTCTAGCATGAAACAGCCTGTCGCCTCTGAGTGTTAACTTCAATGTTCACTTATATATATATATATATATATATATAATGAGAGAGAGAGAGAGAGCAAGTTGATTTTTATGTCCATACTGTATATATCTATAAGCGATTTATCTCCGATATTGAGCTCTCTTCTCTCTCTCTCTCTCTCTCTCTCTCTCTCTCTATATATATATATATATATATATATATATATATATATATATATATATATATGTATATATATATATATTTGTTTTCTAAAGTCATAGATTCGATCCTATATTCAAAGGGATAAATATAAAATTCAGTCATTAAAATGATTCCTATTTTCCCTCAGGATTTACGCAACTGGTTACAATACAAAGATTTTCAAACCGGTCTTGACCCATTCAACGTGAATAATACTAACAAGTATTTGGAGATATGAGTTGTTCTCGTAGAGAATCGTTATTCTTATCATTATTTCATGGACAGAACGAAAAGCCAATGACATTAAAGACTGTTGGTTGATGAATGAGTGGTATCATGATCAGTCCCAGTGCAGAAGTTGGATGACAGCTGTGTGTTGAGAATTCAAGTTAGCGACGTGAAATTGTTATTGCATGGAGATGATGATTCTGCACGATCTATTCCGTTAATCCTAGCCCTGTAAGAAGAGGTTGCAGTAGCGCAGATGTGGAGAGTTTCTCAATGATCTCAACGTATGCTACAAGATGGCTGTTGTTGCTATGGTCACATATATATTTGCAAACAGCCAGTCGGAGCAGTTCCGTCGAGAAGTAGTAGGAAACATAGCAGAATTAACTCTAAAATTTCACGTCGAAATGGATTTTTCAGAATGAGTCAACGTATGCACGAGATGAACTTAGTGAAAATCCAAATCAAAGGGAAACAAAAATGAAAATAATGGTTTAATCAAAATCTGGAATCAAGTAATATGAAACGAAAACAGTAAAAATTGTCAAAAAATATTAATACAGTAATTTATAATCATAATATTTTAACATATACTAAATTCTGGAATTCTATCGTGTATCACATTTAAGTTCTTGAATGATTTAATCTGGTGGATCCCTTCAGTGATATCTGAACAGTTGGATTAACAATATTTATTGCGCGTACGTCCACATCATGTTAAAACATTGGTTCCCGTACGATCATCGAAGTTAAGCAACGTTGAGCCTGATCGATACCTAGATGGATGAACGCTTGGGAATATCAGGTGCTGTAAGCTTGGATGTGTAATGAATAATGGATCGGAATTGTTAATCGGAGAGTCGAGTTTCCAATTACCGTTGTATTCGTTATATTCAGTTACCTTTGGAAACGGTAGAAATCCATCTTTTCTCTCCCCAGCTATGGGTTAATTAGTAAGACCTGTATGACTAAACCATTATTAACTCAAAAAAAATCTTACAGTCTAAAAATATTTTCTGGCTTTAAATAACCTGCAAAGGATTGATAACCCGTAGAAAACGAATCAATCAATCAATCAATATTTTGTTATTATTAGTCTTAGTGTTTAGATAGTAAGTGTATTTTGCAGTCATCAGTGAAGACAAAGTGATAGCAAGCCTCTGAAAAACTTAAACAGTCTCTTCGGTACTCTTGCTAATTTCAACATTGCCATGATCAGCTGTCTCAATCGACTCCATTGTTCTAGTATGACTGTCATTTTCTTATGACGCATGGTTTTGCAGCTCTTGAGCAAGGTCATAGTATTTCTTTATTTTCTCACGCCCTTTTAGTTTTTAGTTTTGTGCCTAAACATTTCATTATCTGCAACGACCAGGTCTGAATTCTTGACCCAGCTAGAGGTGGGAGAGGTCTTTGTGCATTTCAAAGTCTCTTAAAATCTTTTATATGAATGTTGGCACTATGAATTATTTCCCACCCTACAACCCCTTTCCCCACAGACGAAATGTTGTCAGCCTCTCGCTACTCTATCGATAGTTCAATAGCAAATGATCTGAGAAGCTGCAATGCTTAGTTCCACCAGTTTTAACCTTCACAGTTTTTCTAGTATTCTCGCAGGTCAAAGTACTACGGTGGTCTTGACATATGAAACTCATCCACAATTTTCTGATTTACTAATATAGATTCTAGTGTCTCGAGCACGCTTCCAGTTATTTCATTATTATGTTCCATAATTTTCATACATTTCATAGATCCCTGGCAGAGTCCTGGTATTTTCTACTTTTTCGCTTGTCTTTAGTTTAACCATGCAATTCATTGACACGACTTTGTTCATAATCTGATGGCTCTTATATTCATTGTTTACAACTATCAGATCACGTTTTCTCACTTGGATAAGACAGTTGAATTTGATCTCATTATTCCAGCGTATTTCCTTCTTTTTTATATCTTCAAAAAAAGACAATTCTTTGTATTGATATCACCTGGCTATATACGGCTGAACCAAGCCGTTTGCCTAATTCCCAGTGTTTCTATTTACGTTTGTTTTATATTCCTTTTTTAATCAAATTTCTGTATTTATTTATGGCTTAGCGTTTCGTCTCTTTCTCCGAAAGCGACATTTGCTGATCTCTTGTTGTTTTTTGCTATTTCTTCTTACTACTGGTTTTAATATATTCTGACTGATGCACCTGTTCTGAGGTTGAAATGATTTTCCTTACAGCGTTTGTCTTCTGACAAACAGTTTCCATCTTTAAATTCGGCGCCAGAGAATTTATAGCTGAAACACTGTCATTTATTTTCTTAAGGAGCCAAACTCAACCGACAAAATATAATGTGAAAATCCAATATTCATTACATATTTCTAAAGGTACAATGGTGAGCTAGCTTGTCGCACCAAATGTTGCGACTGAGTAGTGAGTTCGATCCTCACTTTGGCTTCTCACATTAAACCGACCTTGTGTCACATCCCGCCACCGCAGGAGATGGGGGTCGAATAAATACATAAATAAATACACATTTCTAGCGGCCACTTCGACGTGGTTTAATGATTAGCAAGCTTGTCTTGCTAGATCAATTACAGTAGTGTTCGATCCTCACTGCGTGCTCCATCATTTCAGCCATGTGCCTCGTCTAAGTTACACTTAGAAAATCACTACATATTTCTAAAAAAGTATCCGATTTTAACTATAGGTTTCTAAAAAAAACTTATATTATAAATAGAAAAAATCTGGTATTAATACTAGATTTCTACTTGTAGCTTTGGCGTGTTGTAATCTTAATTTGTCTCGCTAGATCAATTACGGCTGAGTAGTGAGTTCGATTCTCAATGGGGGCTCCATATTTGAAGCTTTGTGCTTAGTAGATCAGTATAGGTTTCAACAGGTAAGCTATTAACTCCCACCTTCCCAAAAATGAAACCGTGAACATTAATTAGATTACAAATCAAAGACTGTATTTTTTTATATGACAGTGTTTCAGTGATTTAACTGACATATGGTTATCAATTTTACCTTCAGTCTATTTTGACTCCTGCTTCATTGCATATATTCGTGTATACAGTAAATTACATAGGGGTTATATTCTGAAAAATTCGATGCTTCTGCGGCAAAGTGCAGCCAAACAGTTTATAACACTCAATATTTCTGATCAGTTGATTAATTCACAGCTACAGGTGTGATTATTACTTTTCTTGTACATACGTCCGTTCAATACTTTTATTTTCGTCCGAAAATCGCTGCCCGTATTAAAACCGAGATACAGTGTAACCCGGATATAAGAGACCCGGATATAAGAGAAACCCGGATATAAGAGAGATTTTCTCTGGTCCCAAATTAGAGCCTGTGTTAATGTATATAAAATAGACCAAACCCGGATATAAGAGAAACCCGGATATAAGGGACTTCTTCTCTGGTCCCGACAACTCTCTTATATCCGGGTTACACTGTAATATATTTCAAATGTAGTTGGTGAAAAGTTAAAATGTGTTTGGTTTCTTTATAGAACTTTTTTCGTTCTGCGTTTTCTTATTCTGTCAATCAATTGGATCGGGATTCAAAACACTTCATAGGTGGAAATAAGGTAATAATAGCAGTGATTTTCCTAAAGAGGTTGTCGAGATGCTTTGACAACACTGATAATATATAGGAGCCTCGGGGTGAGGAGTGACATTTTCAGTAAAATATCTTAATTCTTGGGGTCAGAGGGAATCAAATAATATTCTGGTTTCAAGTATATTTCAATCAAGGCAGATTAAAACCTGCAAAATCAAATCTGGCTAAAATCGCGCATTCTTGGATTTATATAAAAAGTAGAAAATGTTATTCCATCAATTTTTAGAACTAGTATCGTCACCTTTTTTTATCGTTAACTAGTGTACAGTCCGTTTCTTTTTCATCGGTTTGATTCAAAAATGTCTCATACCAATGCGAAATTTTAATGCTCGAGTCTTCGAAATTTTAACGAGATTTCTTTTTTTTTAGACAACATTCAAGTATTTCTGGATGCGTAGATCACGTTGGCCGACACGTTGCTATAAATTTAAAAAAAAACAATAAAGATACAGATAATCGTTCTAATAACTCACAGAATAATAACAATGCGATTTCTCAGAATTCCAAACAACTTTTATCAAATCAATTAAGTAAGAAATTGATTTAGTCTTCCAAAAGCCGCTGATCTTACAGGACATTGATCGTGATTTACTTCTTCGTTGAATGCTCCATAAATCTGTCCTTGAGTCGGAGATGACATAACCTAGCAAATGCACACATCCAGTCGAACCCCTTGTCATTTGAAGATGATCGGAAACTGGGATAATCAAAATGTTAAAAAAAGAACATTAGTATGTTTCAAAATATAAATACGGCAATTTCTGTATTAAAAGGTAAATAAATGGCCTCTGAATACAATGAACTGAATAATTATATAACGTTAAAGGAGACCTTCATCTGAACATTCTTGCGCAAACTAGATAAGAAGTAGAACAGAACAATAAGTGCTTTTATGAAACTATACAAACTTTTGAAATGACAACAAATATCTGGCATATGTCCAAACTAAATTGTCAATTAACTGTTGGGGGTATATTCCTTGGTCGAGACCATTACGCGGGGATAGGAGTTACAGCCACATGACACTGAAACATCTGTTCCTGTACAATCATTGAAGCAACGTAGAGCCTGGTCAGTACCTGGATGGGTGACTGTAACCTTGGGCGTGCGGATGATGGCTTGTAATTGTTAATCAGAGATCCAAGTTTCAATTCCCTTTGGGTTCGTTATATTCACTTACGCGCAAATACTCTTGGGAAAGGCCTGAATCCATCTTTTCACCTCCCAGCTATAGATTTTTCTCGAAAAATTCTTACAGTTAAAACCATTTTCTGGCTTTAAATAACCTGCATAAGCCATAGAAAACGATTAATAAAAAATGGTTGTTATCTTTGATGCAGTTATCAAATTCAGAATTTTTGTTTTCTTGTCATTGTTGATTCTAAAATATTGGCTCTCTATTCTTCGATGTTGATGTTTTGAGGGAAAGGGTCAAGACATTATTATTTGCACCTGGACACAAAAGGTGCAGACAGTAAGTTCTGCTCTTCGCCATGCCAGTTTAAATGTCCGCTAATATTGGAGGCGTGGTTAGGACATTAGCGTTCGGACAATGAGATCAAGATTCGAATCTCATCATTGTCATTTTATCAAAGGAGTAACTTCCTGATAATATCGTCCTTGGCAGATGATCCCAGCGTGAGGCATCGTTAGAAAATGCTTGAAAACCATATCACAGGTTGAACCGAGACTTGTGGGTCAAATTGGGTAAACGAAACTGGAGGCTGTTGATAGCTGTGCTAGCTCAGTCACAAATTGTGACCGGTGGTTATGGTCTTGTTTAATAAATAGTCACGCTAGATTATGTGATCTCTCTAAAAAAAAAACGTAACTAAGGTATAAACAACAGGTTCGCTTTGGGTGTGTATGCGCGTGTGTGTGTGTATTGAAGAAACACAAATCTGTCTGAACAGGTGTCTGCAACAAGGATTAGTTAGCCATCCTAGTAGACTCCAGTTTCTCGAAACTAACGGATACCTACTTAAGTGTCACATTGAAAATATTTTTTTCTTCTAATTAAAGACCAGAAAATATTATTTGGTGTTAATAATAATTATTTTCAGTGCGATAAAATGATTAGTATTACTTTTCTTCAAGTGACATATGAGAAGTTCAAATGAGAAGGCAGCTTTCGCCTGCATAATGACAATGGTTTATTTAAAGAATACTTCTGACTAATAAATATCAGAAAGAAGACGAAAAGT